ACTATATGGGAACATCAGTAGAATACAATGGGAAAATCGACAAAGAAATAACGGAGAGGAAAATAGGAAAAGTGCAAAGATTATGTAACAGCTTCTTTGGGAAAAAATAAAAAAAATAGAGATAATACTGAGAGTTTACAAAAGCGAGTCGTAGAGAAAAACAACAGTAAAATCAACGCAAGAGGAATGAAATTTCTGAGAAAAATCTAACGAGTCAGAATTTTAACACCATACATGTCTTTAATTTAACTTAGATGGGTTATCATAAAAAAATACAATTCGCAAAAGTTAAATTTTGCAATGTTTCGAAAAAGCTGCATGTGTTGTACTGCACTGGAATTCAATGTTTTACAATAAAGATGCGTGAGTTAACCTCTAAGCTCGAGGCATCTCAACTGAGAGAATTCATTTTATGAATCCTCAAAGCAGTGGTGAAGAAATCAGCTCTCGTAACCAATTTCAGATTTTTTAAGGGTTATATTTTTTTGTCTGGGGTTTTTAATATTATTATTATTATTATCATTAATGCATAGTGTTCACGGGTGGGGAACCAAATTACAGGACACAGAACCGCTGTACAAATATTTTAAGCATAACTTCAACTTGACTCTGTTTGATAGTATCTTTTAATCTGACCTATTGCACTGTAAATAGATCGGCTTGATTCTCGATGTCCATATAATTAACAACCATTTGAACAAGTGGAGAACCAGCTTTACTGATAGTGCGTACAGTGATCTTAAGTGATAAATTGCAAAGTAAATCAGGACATTCTTGCAGTCTTTTGACAATTTTAAATAAAGTTATTACCGAGTGTTCTCTATGTCTATTTAGCAAAGATGGAATTTTGAATCTACCCAGAACAGGATAACCCCTCAGGGGATAAACACCATCGACTTTGTAGGACACCGTCTTAAGAAAACGTCTTTGTATTCTTTCAAGAGAAGAAATGTGGATATTATATATACAGGACTCCATATGACAGAGGCGTATTCAAGACAAGATCTACAGTAAGTGAAATAGAGTAATTTCAGTGTTTCAATATCACCAAACTCCCGACCATTCCGGATGACAAAGCCTAAGGATTTGAAAACAGACTCAGTTATTGCCTGAATATGTTGACTGAATGAAAGTTTTGAGTCGAAGACCACCCCAAGATCGCGTATAACTTCAGGCCTAGTAAGAACGGTGTTATCAATGCCGTATCTTTAAATAATGGGTTTTTCTTTTTTGATAAATGACACGGTATAGCATTTAGTTTTATTAATCATTAAATTGTTATTGGAACACCATCGGTAAACTCTGTCAAGATATTTTTGAAGCCGAAGAGAACCATGAAATGAATTGACTACAGTATAAATCTTCAGATCATCCGCAAAGAGAAGGAAATGCACATCTATGACATCAACAATGTCATTAATATACATATTGAAAAGCAAGGGACCTAATACGGAACCTTGTGGAACACCTGTCTCTTGCTTGAACAGTTCTGACTTAAAACCATTGATTTTAACAAATAAATATCGACTGTCTAAATAAGAATTTTACACTGACATTAATGAGTCCGAAAACCCAAAACATTCCAACTTTTGCATTAGGAGGCGTTGGTCAATTTTATCAAATGCCTTTCATAAATCAGTGTAAATAACGTCCACTTGGCATTCGTTGTCTAATGAATCACTTAAAAATTGTGTTATTTAAAGAAGATTTGTCCTATATGATGGGGCAAAATATTATGTAATACTATTTCGAACACCTTGGCAAAATTAGAAATAATAGCCATGGACCTATAATTTTCAACATTTGATTTTTGTCCTTTTTTGTAAACAGGGCAAATTCTAGAGCACTTCCATTTATTAGTAAAAGTACATATCTTCAAAATAAGGTTTTATTATATAATAGTTAGTGGTGTTGCGAACACATTGGCACAATCTTTGACCACAAAAGCTGGTATTTGATCAGGTCCGTTAGTCATTTTGGGTTTTAAGTTCTTAATGGCGTTATATACATTCTCTTCACTGATGTGTTTTACGTTTAGACTCGTACACTTAAGATTAACAGGTGGATTTTGGTCAATAAATGATTGGGCAAAGTGATTAGCAAATGCATCAACAATGTCCTTGGGAGTGGAGAGGTTTGAATCTTTGTAAGTCATATTCTGTGGAAAAAGATCAGATTTTTTTTCGAGTTTATAAATGCCCAAAACCTCTTAGGGTCTAAGTTAGCACAGTAATTCATTCGTTGCAAATACAATTTATAGGCATCTTTTATTTTAGATTTCAACTGGATTCTCAAAGTTTTAAGATAGATTCTTGTGATTCACTATTTTGATAATAGAGCCATTGAACCAAATGGGATAATTACCTACATAAGTTACTTTCCTTGGAATACGCATTTGGAAAATCTCATCTAAGATTTGATAGAACTTAGAAACGGCTTCCTCAACAGTGTTAAAAGTATTAAGAACCGACCAGTCCACTGACAAAAGTTTTTCATAGAGAATATTAAAATTGCATTTACTAAAATTATAATCAGACTCCACCGAAATTGGAAATTTCTTACGATAATACCTTGGCATTTTGATTTCAACTGCAAGAGCAAGATGGTGACGGTCTTCAGGTATAAGTGGATCATGCGCATGAGAAACAATACGGTGATTATCTTTACTGATAAGAAGAAAATCAAGTAGTCGATTGTTACTATTTAAAATATTATTGCATTGTTTCAGATCGCAAAAAGAAATACAATTTTTTATACTCTGATGAGGTATAGTAGGTAAGGTTATGCTTGATGTATCTCGAATAAACTCTGGACAATTAAAGTCACCAAAATAATTAGTTGAAACTCATACAAAAAAACATAGACAACAGAAAATCAAACAATATCACATAATCATTATTATCACAGTGAAGTGGTATGTAGGTATATGACTAGAACAAAGATAGCACGGGAATTAAAGCTGATTTTTATTAACAATAGATCAATAGTAGGCCGAATATCGCAGATGTTGTTGGACGTAGGATTATCACAGATACTGGAAGATATAGTACGTTTTTTAAGTTTGTTTGTTTATTTATAAACTCAATACAATGAACTTTCAGGATAAACTTTTCTCAGAAGAATGTCTTAATTGCAAAAGCGCAGTGACCTATTTATAATTAATTTACAGTTGACAGAAACTCAGTCATGATAATTGTTTCTCGATAAAATTAGTCATCTTCTTTCCAAACTATATTTTCTATCCACCCAACATAAGCTGACACTCTCGTGTAAACCCCAGCACTATTTTTGCCACCACATCCTTTTCCAAAAGAAGTAATTCCTGCGACGACAAAATGATAGTCAAGAGTGCTCGTCCTGTATAATTCATAATGCAGTGGTCCTCCCGAGTCACCCTAGAATCCAAAACTCATTCACTTTTTTAGTATTACAACGTATACTACCAGACACGTGTCTTTTCCCTGAGTACTTCCCGCGCAGATTTGAAATTCATCCAATATACCTTTGGTTAATTTCCTGGTTCGCGCAACATTGGCATATCCTTTGGCACAAGCATGATGGTTGACAATGGACAAATCGGCCTTCAATAAATGATCGCTTCTTTCATCAAGAAAACCAATTTTGCCCCATCCAATTGCTTGTAAAGTGTTAACAGGAAGATACTTTGCCGCTTGCAAACAAGCGGGCTTTAAATAAAACCCAAAAGAAATTTCTTGTTCCGTTTTGAATAACGCGATGTCGTGATAGTATGAAGAGTATTTATATTTCGGGTGTATATGAATCTCACTGATTTTTAAGTCTTCAGGATTTGCGTCTTCGGTGGTGTTTTTTAAATCTAGGTCTCCCACACGAATCCACCTTGCTGGTCCACTGAGTACAAAAATCAGTTTTTGTAGTTAAGGTACTAAAGGCAAGTACTCACAATTCTACAGAATATACGCAGTGTGCGGTACTTAGAACGAAACGATGACTTATAAGCGTTCCTCCACATAACCATAAAATATTCCTTTCTCCAAAACCGACCGCTACCTAAAATAAAGCGCTAGAAATTTTTTTTGAAAATATATGATTTACTACCATGTGAAGAAACTCTCGAGGTTTAGCTTTCTCACCGTTCTCGATTAACACTCGCCGGTTGCTTGGGAAGTAATATTCTTTGCATTCTATACAAAGTTAACATAAAAAAGGGTTTAGACACAGGTTAAAAAAATTACTATTGTTTTCTTTCATTTTAAATATAAACTTTTATCAAAAAAAAGAGGTAGAGAGTTATTTCGGGGAAACAATTTGGCGATGACGTTATCAGTACGATAACCTTGAAACACTTGCGAAATTTCGAATCATTCGGCTTATAACGTTTATCGTACCAAATTGTAAGATGACTTCTTCGTCTGTCTTTGGGTGGGGCATAACGTATATTGCATGAAACATTTTTGTATAAAAAGACAGACGGCAGACGGAAACAGAATAACTATTTTTCGTACTCTATGGGCCATGAAACGTCGAAAAAACATTAAACTAGTCATTCCTCCCTACTATAATACTTCCTTAGCTTATGCTCGGAAAGTAAAATATGAATGAGATGGAAATAAATATATATTTTTGTTATTAATGATGATATCCCAGAATTCTAGAAAATTAACTGTGCAGCAGTTTAGTTATTACTTTAGAAGATAGATTGATAAAGATTTTCTAAAAAATTTGCTCAAATATGCACGGAGAATTAGCCTGGCCAATTTTTACTTACTTTCTATACTTAACATTCCAGGTAAGAGCTCCAGCTTTTGTGGAAAAGGGCAACACACTAGAGGGATGTTTCCGTTAAAACCACATACTCCTGGGTTTCGTCTATTGCGAATTAACCTGAGAGCATACTTGCAATGATGTACTTCAGTACAATTACCCTCTTCATGGGTTAATATAGACGTACACTTTTCTCCTGGAGTAATATAATTGAAATTCCGAATTTATTTAATAAAAGATAAACAAGTACTCTGTACCTTCAAACAATGCACTTATAAAACAGTTCGATGATAATAATAACACTGTAATCACGGAAGAAATAGAAATTAGGGAGATGAGTTCATACAAAATAATTGGTAAAATTCGTTTTGTCATATCTGTTAAGATAAAAATGAACAAAGTTTTGGAAATTACGACTAGTAATACTATAATAACTAAAAGACGATGGAGGTGGTAAGGTTTCGTGACATTTTAACATTACAAAAATGTTATCAATTATCACATTATTATTCTTTAGATGCACGTAATAAACATAAATAACATATATTGTTTACTTTTTGACTGATAAGTTTTTCATAACTCAAGCGTAAATGTAGGAAGTATTGTTTTAAGGTCAAAATTTCATCCATACATAGATTCATCATGAATTCAAACTGCATTTCGAAATGGAAAAGTCTATTTGCTATTGGATGACTTTGATAAATACAAGAAAGAAACGAAATAAGGCGTTTTAGTTTAATTAAGTATTATTGTATACCTACTTTCGTAATATTGTAATATTTTCGATATATAGACATAAACAATCGAAGTTAAGCATGAACACTGATAATAATACACTCTTTTCCTTTTTGGTTATTCACTTCAAATATATTTCACATTGTCCGCGAACGGCGCCTCAGGGTGTCATTTACAGGCTGTACATTTTTTTAAATCTTTGAATCGTGAAGATGAAGGACTAACGTAACAAAACGCAATATTTTACTTCAAAAAACCTTTATAAACTCTAATTCATACGTTTAAAATGATCATCCATAATCTAAGTTTTCATCCAACAGAATCGTCTTATTTTAAGCACCCTCGTCTTCCACCCACACAATGCTTTCAATCCAGTCAAGGTATGAAGACACCCTGGTATAAACTCCAGCACTACTTGTCATACCGTACTGTTTACCAAACGACGTAACTCCGACAATCTTGAAATGTGGCAACATTTTCCCAATCCCTTTCACATGGTACTGAAGTGGTCCACCTGAGTCACCCTACAACCCGAACAATAACCTCTCAAAACCAAAACAATTTTAGTAACCTACAGGGTAGGTATCTTTACCCATCGCGTCACCAGCGCATATCTGCAAATCGTCTTGTATTCCATCTCGGAGTTTGCGGGTGTTCGACACACTAGCGTACTTTCTAGCACACGTTCTATGATCGACAATGTGCAACTCGACTTTGAGTAAGTACATGCTGAGACCAAAAAAACCAACTCTTCCCCAGCCCGTTGCCTGTAGAATGTCAACTGGAACGTCTTTCTCTGTGTGCAAGCAAGCGGGACGAGTGGAAAAGTCAAAAGTGACTTTTTCTTCCATTCTGTACAGAGCTATATCGTGGTAAAAAGAAGAGCGTTTGTATTTGGGGTGTACATAACGGTCTGCTATTTTTATATCGTGGGGGGTGGCGTCGTCGACGATGCTCTTGATTCCGAAGTTTTCCATGCGAATCCACATTGCCTGACCACTAAAACAAGTCATTGGTTCAAGTTTGGTGGGTTATCTATACTTATATAATAAAGCTGAAGCTTTTGTTTATTTGAACACGCATATCTCAGAAACTACTGGTTCAAATTCAAAAAATCTTTTTGTGTTGGATAGTCCATGTATCATATCTACATATAGGCTATATAACATCACGCTACGATCATTAGGAGCGAAGTAGCAATGAAAAATTCGGAAAAACGGGAAAATTATTCCTCCTTTGACAGCTTCCGTTGCTTACGCTGCTTAAACGGTTAAAGTTACGTAAAAATCATGTATGACGAAATTGTTCCCCTCTAAAAGTTCTAAAAAAAAGTCCGCGACAGCATATGTCTATCTTTTAAGGTCGAGTCAGTATAACCTTTTTTATGGTAATGAAATTTGTTTTAAAATAATAATGCATTATGTATAAAATTCTTGCGTCACAGTGTTTGTAATCGAACTTCTCCGAAATGGGTTGACCGATTTGTATGAAATTTTTTATGCATATTCGGTAGGTCTGACAATAAGTTGTAAACTATTTTTTAAACCTCTAAAAGTGATAAGGGTGGCCCACCCTAAAAAATGTTTGTCTATTTTTTGGACAAAATTTTTTATTTTTATTTTTCTGAGATTTGGCATCAAAAAATACACATAACCCTAAATTTTCACCTTTCTACCACCAACCCCCATTTTTTAATCGTCTATAAAATAAAAATCAATTGTTGTTCCTGTTAGTCTCGCTAACGGTCGGTTTTTTAGTCGATGGTAAACTCAAAACTAATAGTTTACTAGAGGTTTTTCCATTATTGTAACAATGGTTTCTTTAGCGACATAACAAAACCTTTAGTTTACCATCGATTGAAAAACCGGCCCTAAGACTCAAAAACGTCTTGACCGATTTGAAATTTTTTTTATATTACGGGGATGGTTTATAAATAAAAAAAAATAAGGATAACTTAAAAGGACAGTTAAAAAATAAAAAAATTCTAAAAATTTTGTATGGGAATCGCCACTTCGAATTAATTTCAATAGTTGGCGTTCCTGACGGACCTGTCGTCTAACTGACGTGTCATACAAAACTATTTCTTCCGTGCGATTGTGAAAAGTATATTGCATTTCAAATCGTTCTTTGTTTTTTCGTAAAAAAAAAGTCGTTTATTTTAAGAAAAGTCTTGGTTAAAGTGAATTTAATTACACATTGCGAAAGTTTCTTATTCATTTTGATCTGCCATTCTTTTTATCTATATTCACTTCGTTGGTTTCGACAAAACCTCAAACTTTACCGTTATTCGAGGATTTAATTTGCAGTTTTCAATATTTTAAAATTCTCAAGACAAAATTTACAGATTTGATTGACTGTGAAAATAATTCTGTGTCGTTTTATGAAGTTCATTAAAATGCCGAGAAGACGACAACCTCACATAGGTCCACGAAGTCAATCAAATGTGCGACGAACTACCTCAGGTGCAAACCGCAATGATTTATTTGATAGGTAATTCGGATACGGAAGTTGATCAGCGTTGTGCTCATAATCAACATAATCAAACATTGAAGCGAGACATTGGGTGGTATGAATAAAACTGAGTAGATACTCATATTCGAAGTACGAAGTACCTACTTCATTATTACTCTTATATACCTGAGCATCTACTCAATGTATTAAGTACCTACTTGGAAACATTGTATCTCCCCGGACACAAACTGAACATCTACGCATTTTGTGAGCATTTAATCTAGAAATGAGCATCGGCGTGGCAAATAACTGAGCTGTCTGTCAAGCAGCTTAGAAAACGAGTAGGATCGTTGTAAGAGTGAATTTTAACTAAACATGGTGACTTTCATGAACGTGGAACGTCGTCAAAAGGTGCATTCAGTTTGAAAAACACATTAGGAGCAGGAGTATCGAAAACTTTTCATTTTATTAATGCACAAATTGTGCAGTACGTTTTTTCTAACACTGGCCATAGAGATTCCCATCGCAAGGTGTCTACCCCATGCTAACTTATATTTTGGTGATCGATTTTTGCCTTGATGGTTGAACACTGCCACTGTTGTCCTTTTTTGTTGTATCGAGATGCTACTTGAGCATCAACTGTTACTTACTGAAATATTAGTATTATCTAGAAAAACTAGAAATATTTTGATTTGATATTCGAGTAGATACTTCGTATTTCGAGTATGAGCATCTACTGAATTTTATTTATATCAACCATTGTCAAAAAATTGATCGAACGTTGTTTCGACAAAACTTCCTTCGCACCAAAAGTATAATGAAACCTATTCAGCATTTTCGAGTTGAGTCTGTTCTTCACACAATTTTGTGATGACCTAATCAACATTTACTATCAACACGTATACCACCTTGGATTGGTGCAGTGTAATACTAAAAATAACTGTATTGTATTCCCAAAATTATCTGCGAAAATCGAGTGAGCCATTCCATCAATTTTTTTGGGGGAATAAATAAATATTCTTAACAATTTACCATGCTTACAATAACTTTAAAATGTCTGCAAGATCTCAAAGTATTCATTTTTGCAACTCTTGAGTTCTTCACTAAAATAAATTGACTGATCCATATATTTTTTTGAGTCACTGTAAAAGCAAATCTAAAAAATATGAATGCAATGATAAATTACGAAAATATACTGATGATGTTTTCCACATTTTAGATAGGATTTATTCGGCAAAATCATCAATTTTTTGGAGGGGATAAGTAAATATATTTTGAATAAAAATTTATTATTCTTATCATATCTTTAAAACATCTGCAAGATTTCAAAGCATTCGATTTTCCAGATTCAAAATTAAATTGTAGGTGAAACGAAGTTCACGGGGTCAGCTAGTAATTATAATAAATAAGAAAAAAGGTACTTACAAATCTACAGAATAGACGCAGTGTGCGGCACTGAGTACAAAGTAGTGGCTGATTAAGCTTCCTCCACATAGCCACACTGTGTCAACTTTACTGGCACCATAACCGACAGCAACCTAGTTAAAAGTACAGTCAGAATATTGTTACAAATTATTGTTACATGTTACCATGTGTGGAAATTCCTTTGTGCGCATATGTTGTCCTACAATGGTTGCCACGTTAGTGTCTCCAACTTTATAGTAATGTGTGCACACTGGAAAAAATATATTAATTATAACAAGATTTAATTTTTTTTTATAAAATTTTTCGTGTAGATACAGGCCAGGAAACGAATTAATCAGTTTGTGTGTCTGTGAAACTTTTCAATGCAACATTTGCAAGAAAACAAACCACAAAGGACAAGATTTTTTTAGACACAAGACAGATTATTATTATTGTTCAATACCTCAAATTTGGAAAACGTCTAACATCTGTCCGGTATTAAATCAGGAGATGTGACCTATGTTGAGAATTAAAGACAATCTGTTATGCAACTTTTCTAATATTCGAATCATTACTGTACAAACAAATTTATTCTACTGTTATCATTATCAACATTGATTTTTCGAAAAAAGATTCACTGTAACTAATTTCTCATGTTTTCACAATTCGTTTCTGAATCTATTGATAATCGTGGTCAAATGGATACAATTTATACACATTTTTGTAAAACATTTGTTAAAATTGACTACTACGTATTACTCGACAAGTTATGGCAATATGGCAATACACCGAGATGTTACCTTAAACCATCAGACTGTCAATCTAGCACAATAAATGTCATAGAAAACGAAGAATAAAATCAAAAAGAAAATGCGGAACCAGAAAGAAGATGACAACAGAGATGAAAATGAACAAGACATGCAGTAGACAAAAACTATATCAAACACAAGTCCAAAATATAAATTTGGGGGAAGGAGAAAGCGTCGTTGAAACAAGAAGTGGAAGAAAATCAAAACAACCTGTAAAACTGAAATATGTATTACTATATTGTAGATCTTGTTGAAGAAGAAGCGTTATTGAAGCTATCATTGGACCAGAAACAAACAAATGACCTGATGTGAATATACTCGTAAATGAAACTGATAAACATCGTATGTTGACAACCAAGTGGATGTTCAAAATAAAAATGCAATGGAAAATATGGCGCAAGATTTTTGACATTTTCGAGCAGAAAAAAACCAAATGCAATCACTGTCAAAACAACTCTATGTCTTGCTGCTGTCTAAAAATGTCTTGAATGCACTATATGTGCTCGTGATGCACTAAATATGTATAAATAAAAATTAAGTCATCAATTTTTCACCAGTCATCTTAGGTGTTATGTCAAACCAACCGCAACCACAACCCACAAAATAATCTTTCTGTTAAAATGGAGCACAGTGCATAGTGCATTCCACATATTTATCAAAATTACTGGAATGATGGCACCATGATGATACCAACTCCCGGAAATCGTTTTAGATATCCGGAAATTATTCCTCGTTACTACACTAAATATAAAAGCTAAATAAATTCAAAAATACATTTTCAAACTAGTTGTATGAAAATTCCAATTGTCAGAAGCAACAAATAATACGGAAATAAAGGTTGCACAAACCTAAGAAACATAAAGTACAAGATCTATGTATGTTTAGAAGAATGTACCACTTTAAACGTGTTTTGCTTCTTGCTCTGAAAAGACGACTACGTATATTAAAAAAAAAAGCAAAATATAAACACCGCCCACCCACCCTGTCTCAATTATGATGACTTTTTTTTAATCATCGAGAGCCAAAGGAGCGAAATTTAATTTTCAAAATCCTTATTATTTCTCTACAAGAAATTATCATGTGCTGTAACCTCATTTGAGATACACCTGTTAAAACTTTTATGACTTAAGCGGCTTAAGCCAAACCACCCTTATAAGTCAAACTGGCTATTGTAAGCTTTGTGGGCCCGAACCGCAAGATTATTACTGTTGGCATAATGTAGCTGTGAACTAAGTTAAATAATACAATAGCTAGTTTGACTTATAAGGGTGGTTTTAACAGCTATATCTCAAATGAGGTTACAGTAAGACATGTTTTTGAGTTTCGCGTTATTCAAAGAATACTATGTACATAAAGAAAAAATTGGTCTACAGAGTTTAGACAGTACTTCCCTCGCTGCGGAAACGTGACGACTGCATGCCTATTAGGTTTTTTTTTCGCAGTAGATTTCAAAGCATTCGGTTTTGTAGTTCCTGATTAAATCAATAAAATAAATTTGCGCATTCATTAAATTTTTTGACTCACCCTGTATATCCAAATCCAAAAAATATGAATCGAATGGTAAATTACAAGAAGAGACTCATCATATTTTGTACATTTTAGATAGGATTATTCAGCAAAATTGTGAGCTGACGTCATCAATTTTTTGAAGAGGATAAGCAAATACATTTTGACTAAAAATTTATCGTGCTTGTCATAACTGTAAACCATCTGCAAGATTTCAAAGCATTCGGTTTTGCAGATTTAAAATTAAATTGCAAAATATTGTTTCATAATTTTGATTTTTTTTTCCAAAAATCTGGACGTTTCGGGTAAAAACTCAATTCGGAGTCATAAACTACATGTGTAGGACTACGTTATTTTGTACAATTTAAAACCCATTTACTATGTACAATTTTGAACTGACGTCATCGTATTAGTGGTGGGGATGATTAGACAAATTTTGGTTAGCGTTTTACCATCTACACGATATTCCTAATATAAGTACAAAATTTCGCAACAATCGGTCCAGTACTTTCGGAGATTATCTGTCTAATAAAAATCCGGGACGGCAGACAGACAGACGGACAGACAGACAGAAACGGGAGACCTATTTCTTCGTCCTCTAGGGATCATGAAAGGCCGAGAAAATGTAAAAGTAGAGAGTCGGCCGACGGACTCGATTACAATACTTCCTTTGCTTACGCTCGGGAAGTATAAATTCATCACAATTGAGATAGGGCGGGTGGGCGGGCTTACTTTTTGCGTTTTTGTTTTAATATGTGTAGAATTCTTTTCACAACATGAAACTTAAAACATGTTTAAAATAGAAAATTTATATCAGGAAATATCAAATTTGTAATTATGGAACTGAAACATCAATTTCGCTCAGATAGTTAAATTTATGGAAGAATTTTTACAATGGTAGGGATTCACTGACGTAGTGCTTGCATATATTTTCTAAGATGATTTAACGCATTGTTTTAATCCTTTCTATTAAAGAATTGTTGAAACAAAGAAATCGCGCATTAAGTTTGTTAGATTATGAAAGTAATACTTCAATTGTCGAATCAGTTATTAAATGCTAGCCCCGCCCACCCGCCCCTATTTTCTTGGAAAATATGCCATCTGCCAAAAACAGTCTTATCTGATTAAGTACTAGCCCCGGTCACCCCCAGTCTTGTCATGCTAAAGACTAATTTTATTTCTGCTCGGAATAACATCATTCACTACATTCAGAGCGGATAAAATTAATCACGGAAATGAAGGAAGGGTGGGTGGGCGGGGCTAATTATGTCCTTCTATAGAGTGGGAATGAAAACTAATAAAATCTAGGATGTGCTAAAAGTAAAAAAAGCGCTAATCTTAAATTTTTTGTTTTACTATTTGCTACTGGAACTATAAAAAATGCTATATTTCAGTTAACGATTTTGGAAGAACGATAGAAATATTCGAAGAAACGAAGCCGGAAATAATATCTAGATGTGTAAATCTACAAGAAAATGGCAAGCTAATTTTCGTAAATGGTTGAAAAAAGGTTGAATTTGTCAAAATCAGTCATACCTCATAAGACGCTAAGCCCACCCACCCGCCCTTATTTTCTTGGAAGATATGTCCTTTGCCAAAAACAGTCTTATCTTATTAAGTACTAGCCCTGCCCACCCCCAGTCTTGTCGTTCTAAAGACTAATTTTATTTCTGCTCAGAATAAGATCATTCATTATATTCAGACCGGATAAAATTAATCACTGAAATAAAGTCAGGGTGGGTGGGCGGGGCTAATTATTTCCTTCTGTGGAGTGGGAGTGGAAACTAATAGAATCTAGGATGTGTAAAAAGTAAAAAAAGGCGCTAATCCTAAATTTCTTATTCAACTATTTGCTACTGGAACTAAAAAAGATGCTATATTTCAGTTGACGATTTTCGAAGAACGATAGAAATGTTCGAGAAACGAAGCCCAAAAAGGATATCTGGATGTGTAAATCTACAAGAAAACAGCAAACTAATTTTAGAAAGTGGTTGAACAAAAGTTGAAAATGTCAAAATCAGTCATTCCTTATAAAATGCTAGCCCCGCCCACCCGCCCTTATTTTCTTGGAAGATATGCCATCTGCCAAAACCAGTCTTATCTCATTAACTACTAGCCCCGCCCACCCCCAGTCTTGTCATTCTAAAGACTAATTTTATTTCTGCACAGAATAAGATCATTCTTTACATTTAGAACGTATGAAATTAATCACAGAAATAAAGACAGGGTGGGTGGGCGGGGCTAATTATGTCCTTCTATGGAGTACGAATGGAAACTAATAGAATCTAGGATGTACAAAAAGTAAAAAAAACGCTAATTATAAATTTTTTGTTTTACTATTGGCTACTGGAACTATAAAAAATGGTATATTTCAGTTGACGATTTTGCAATAACTATAGAAATATTCGAAGAAACGACGCCGAAAATAATATCTGGATGTGTAAATCTACAAGAAAATGGCAAGCTAATATTTGAAAATGGTTGAAAAAAGGTTGAAAATGTCAAAATCAGTCATATTTTATAAAATGCCAGCCCCGCCCACCCGCCCTTATTTTCTTGGAAGATATGTCCTTTACCAAAAACAGTCTTATCTTATTAGATACTAGCCCCGCCCACCCCCAGTCTTGTCATTCTAAAGACTAATTTTATTTCTGCTCAGAATAAGATCATTCGTTACATTCAGACCGGATAAAATTAATCACTGAAATCAACGCAGGGTGGGTGGGCGGGGCTAATTATTTCCTTGTATGGAGTGGGTATGGAAACTAATAGAATCTAGGATGTGCAAAAAGTAAAAAGAATACGCTAATCCTAAATTTTTTGTTTTACTATTTGCCACTGGAACTATAAAATATGCTATATTTCAGTTGACGATTTTGGAAAAACGACAGAAATGTTCGAAGAAACGAAGCCGAAAATGATATCTGGATGTATAAATCTACAAGAAAATGGGAAGCTAATTTTCGAAAATGGTTGAAAAATGGTTGAAAATGTCAAAATTAGTCATTCCTTAGAAAATGCCCCATAATTGCAAAATCCACATTTCCTTGTAAAAACGTACCATTTTAACTATGTTCTAAAGTTTTTGTTATGAAAAGATGGCTATGTATAGTAAGAAGAGAAAAGGAAAAATATAAGCCCCACCCATCCACCCTATCTCAATTCTGATGATTTTTTTTATTCGTCGTAAGCCGAGGGGCGGAGCTTAATTGTAAAATCCTTATTTTCCTACTAGAAATTACCATGTGAAATACATTCTATAGTAATCGTGTTATTCAAATAAAACTAATTGTATTAATTAAAAAAGAAAACCAAAAGAGAAGCCCCACCCATCCGTCTCGGTCTTAATCGTGGTCAATTTTTCATTGGTTGTCAAACCGAGGGGCGGAGACTAATTGCAAATTCGATACTTTCCAAAAAAATCTTTGACTCAGTTTGGTAGAACCCAGTCATGGCCACAGTTTAAAATTATTTAAAAAATAGTTAGTTATTTAAATATACGAAACATTTTTTATTAGAGCAAACCTGGTACCAAAAGAAAGCTTTTTTAAAGACAAATGTGAAACTTTACTTACTTTCTTGACTTAAAACTCCTGGCTGTTTCGCATTAGGACAACATGCTAAGACACTATTGCCCATAAATCCACAGTGTCCTGGGCTTAACCCCCTTCGAAGCAACTCCTTTGCATAGTCACAATCTAACATTTTGATACATCGGCCAGTTTTCTTGGTGTTAGGAACCACACACATATCGCCCTCTAAATATATACATATATAATATTTTACCTTTTAATAAAAAAATAAAGAAAATTGTGTTATACCTCGTAAATAAAAAGCAGTGGTTCTTGATTCCATGGTCAGTAACATTATCGTTAAAGTGACCACAAGAAAATAAACGGCTTTATGAAATACTTGTAAGCGGAGTGGCACCATCATGTAGAGTGCTGTGTTAAACTGATCTAATTATTATATATCACAAAAGCAAAGCTCGGTTTTTCCTGAACATGGCATGATTTCTTTTGTCTTCGTTGTAGCTTCTGCAAAAAACCTACTTTAACAGGAACTGATTAGTCTACTAGTTATAAACAAACGACTAATGCATTTTTAGTTTTAGTGACAATAATACAAAAAAATGAATGAGATAAGGACAAAGTTATAATTATTTGTATATTTTTTTTTCCAAAGATACCGGGTGTTTCATTTGAAAATTGAAAATCAAAAAAATAAATAGGTGTGTTATTATAAAATTATTTTTACCTTACGTCGCAAGAGTATTTGCCCTTCACAAAAAGTACGATTTTTGGGCAAACTTTCTAGACAAAAATAACTCAAAAAAAACTTCAATCTGTCTTCTTTTTCACTCTCCCACACAATGATTTCAACCACACTATCATATGTATAAATATCGGCACTGGTCTCTTTACCACATCCTCTGCTGGAAAAAGTTCCCGCCACTGTAAAATGACGTAATGCAGGGTCCTCACCTTCCTCAAAATATTGAGGCGGTCCATCAGGGTCTCCCTAAAGTTAGGCAGAATAAATGTTGGTTGTTTTTGTGCAATGATTACATACCAACTGAGCCTCTTCTTTCAAAATCCTACACAAAAGAGCACTTACTAGAAATATTTTGATTTTTTTTAAACGGTTCATGGGCTGTTTTGATCAAATTGTTACTAGTTTTTCCAAGTCCGTGTATTGTTGGTCTACTACATTTTCGAAAAAATCAAGTTGTTTTGGATTCGAAATTGTTTGCACGACATGCAGCACTAAGGATAAATTAATTACTGAAACTTCCTCCGTACAACCACGAGATCGTGGTTTCCTTGCCACCAAAACCAACAGCCGCCTGATAATGATTTAATTAGATTGTTTTATCACTATTTTACCATTTTATAATAATTATTGGTTTACCATATAACGAATTCTTTGGGTCTGTTTGGCGCCAAAAAACCGACACAGGCATGCTTGAGGTCTCCGTAATTTTCATAATAGCAAAAACCGCTGTAGTACAGGATGTAAAAGAATATTTTTGTTATCGGAGTATTTAGTCATGGGTATGAAGTCGCACGTGTTTAGAAACTAAAACATATTCTCAAATTCGAGAACTTTTTTTATACAATGTTAGCGTCTATATTTTTTGGGTGGTAATAATATTAATAATAATAATAATTACAATAATTGCGATTTTCTCGAAGTCATAATTAACTTTAATTTCAAATAGCACAATATATTAATTTTATTTTTTAATATTTTATTTGGTTAGATATTCTTGCAGAAAATTGAACAAAGAAAAGTAATCAAAAGGTGAACATGATAAATTCTGATATTTTTATCGTAAGAATAGTTGGTGGCTTCATTTAGGTGAAAGAATGTAATTTGTACGTCCTAGAATTTTCTGTACTGATATTTTTTTTCCTTAATTAAGCATGTATGAAACTATTAGGCCAATTACGTAAATTTAAAGACAAGGAAAATCTCTACACTCTCCTTTGAAAAAAGCTAATAATAACCATTTCTGGAAAAACTTGCGACTTATTATTATTTTTCACATCATAATAACCATAGATCATTTTTGTGTGTTGTGTTCGACGTTCCGAATAATTTTATTATCACGAGAAAAACCGTGGAAATTTCTTCAATTTTCCGATGTTTCAATGATACAATTTCTCAATTTTTGTCCTCTTCAATTTTGCGATATCTAAATATTTCTAATTTTCAAATTTTTACGTTTCTAAATTTTCAGGTTTCCGATTTCTGAAGTAATCTTTTTTTACTATTTCTCGACTTTCGAAAATTTCGATTTTTTACTTCTTCAATTCCAATTTTTCAGGTTTTTGATTTCCTCGCTTTCTCTCCTCTGATTTTTCGATTCCTCGATGTCTCAGTTTTTGAATGTTTCGATTCTTGGATTTGTCGGTTTTTAGATTTTTTTTTTGGGCTTTTCAATTTTTCCATTTTCCAATTTTTCGATGTTTCGATTTTTCAGCTATCCCATTTTTCAATTTTTCAATTTTTTAAATTCTGGAGTTTCGATTTCTCGATTTATCGATTTTTCAGTTTTTCGAATTTTAAATTTTAGATTTTCGAATTTTATTAATTTTTTTGTTTTTCAGTTCTTTAGTATTTCTATTTTTCAATTTTTCAAATTTTGACGTTACTAAATTTTCAGTTTTCAGATTTCTCAATTAATCTATTTTTGATTTTTTTTTAATCGTCGAAAGAAAAGGAGCGAAATTTAATTGCAAAACCCTTAATATTTCTCTACAAGAAGTTACCATGTAAGACATGTTTTTGAGTATAGTGTATATTAAGAAAAAATTAAAGCCAAGGACTAAGCCTCACCCATTCCTACTCTGATCTAAATAGTAATGAAGTTTTCATTCGTTGGCAGACCTAGTGGCGGAGCCTAATTGCAAAATCCATATTTCCTTGCAAAAACGTACCATTTTAGCCATGTTCTAAGCTTTTTGATGTCAAAACGGCCATGTTTATTAAAAAAAAAAGGCAAAATATAAGCCCCGCCCGCCCACCCTGTCTCAATTCTGATGATTTTTTTTATTCGTCGTAAACCGAGGGGCGGAGCTTAATTGTAAAATCCTTATTTTTCTACAAGAAATTACCATGTGAAATTTCTTCTTAAATAATCGCGTTATGTACAAACAAAACTAAATTTTTATTTTTTGATTTTTTCAATTTTTTAAATTCTGGAGTTTCGATTTCTCGATTTGCCGATTTTTCAAATTTTCGATTTTTAAATTTTAGATTTTCGAATTTTTATTTATTTTTTGAGTTTTTGATGTTTGGACATCCCGATATTTCTATTTTTCAATTTTTCAAGTTTTTACGTTGCTAAATTTTTTCTTCGATTTTTCGACTTTGCTTTCTCAATTTTCTAATTTTTTATTTCTCAATTTTCCGATGTTTCAATGATATAATTTCTCAATTTTTGTCCTCTTCAGTTGTACGATTTCTGAATATTGCAATTTTTCAATTTTTTAAATTTTGACGTTTCTAAATTTTCAATTTTCCGATTTCTGAAGTAATCTTTCTTTAATTTTCCTATTTCTCGAATTCCGAAAGTTTCGATTTTTTACTTCTTGATTTCTTCAATTTTTCAGGTTTTTGATTTTTCAATTTTTCTATTTTTTAGCTTACGATTTTTCGACTTTGCTTTTTTAGTTTTTCGATTTCTCAATATTATAAATTCTTAATTTCTTATTTTTTTGGATATTTCTTTCAGTTTTGGGATCTTTCAATATTACGATTGTTGGACTTCTGGAAATTTTGATTCTGTTTTATTGTTACTGTTCGATTTCTGAATTTTTTTCGATGTTTCAATTTTTTAATTTTCCGAATTCTTAAATTTACGGTTTTCCAATTCTTCTCGGCTTTTGACTCCTCGTTTTCTCTCCTCTGATTTGTCGATTTCTTGATGTCTCAGTTTTTGAAGGTTTCGATGTTTCGATTTTTGGATTTCTCGGTTTGCAGATTTTTTATTTTTGGGATTTTCATTTTTTCGATTTTCCAATTTTTCGATGTTTCGATTTTTCAGCTATAGGATTTTTCAATTTTTCAATTTTGTAAATTCTGGAGTTTCGATTTCTCGATATGTCGGTTTTTCAGTTTTTCGATTTTTAAATTTTAGATTTTCGAATTTTTATTTATTTCTCGGTTCTTTAGTATTTCTATTTTTCAATTTTTCCAATTTCGACGTTACTAAATTTTCAGTTTTCCGATTTCTCAATTAATCTAATTTTGATTTTTTTTTTAATCGTCCAGAGCCAAAGGTGTGAAATTTAATTGCAAAATCCTTAATATATCTCTCTAAGAAAATACCATGTAAGACATGTTTTTGAGTATAGTGTTATTCAAAGAATACTGTATATATATTAAGAAAAAACTAAAGCCAAAGATTAAGTAAGCCCTACCCATTCCTGCCCTGGTCTAAATAGTAATGAAGTTTTCATTCGTAGCCAGACCTAGGGGCGGAGCCTAATTGCAAAGTCCATATTTCCTTACAAAATTTACCATTTTAAACATGTTCTAAGTTTCTAAGAATAGAAAAATCATCACAATCAAGATGGTGTGGGTGGGCGGGGTATATATTTTGTTTTTTTTTTTTTTAATATAGATAGTATTCTCTGAACAATACGATTTTGTTGTCAAAAAGTAACTATGTTTATTAAAAAAAAAGGGCAAAATATAAGCCCCGCCCACCCATCCTGTCTCAATTCTGATGATTTTTTTATTCGTCGTAAACCGAGGGGCGGAGCTTAATTGTAAAATCCTTATTTTTCTACAAGAAATTACCATGTGAAATTTGTAATCGTGTTATGTACATTTTTTGATGTTTGAATTTTTCGATTTTTCAATTTTGCGATGTTTTCATTGTTCAATGTTTTAAATTATAGATTTTTCGATTTTTTTTAATTTCCAGTTCTTCAGTATTTCTATTTTTCATCAATTCACATTTTTTCGTTTTTTTTCCCTTCATTTTTTCAATGTTTCTTTCGATTTTATAATTTTTCGTTTATTCAATTTTTCAAATTTTCAATTCCTCGATTTTCCAATTTTTAAATTTTGCGATTTTTGGATTTCTCAATTACCCACTTGTACGATTTCTTTAATTTTCGATATTTAGATTTTACAATATTTGGTTTTTTCAGTCCTGACTCTTTCGATTTTGTAGTTTCTCAAAAATTTTTAGATTTTTCAAATTTTGATTTCTAGAATTTTTCAAGTTCTTCATTTTTATTTTTCATTTTTTCGATTTTTTAATTTTCATTTTCTCGATTTTATGTCACAACTTTTTGTTTTTTCATTTTCTTAATTGGATTTTATAATTTTCCGTTTTTTCAATTTTTCAAATTTTCAATGCCTCGATTTTCCAATTTTTAAATTTTGCGATTTTTGAATTTCTCAGATATCCAATGTGCCGATTTCTTTAATATTCAATATTACGATTTTGACTTTTTCCATTTTGAAGTTTCTCAAAAATCTTTCGATATTTCAAATTTTGGTTTGTTCAATTTTTCAAGTTCTTCATTTTTATTTTTCATTTTCCCGATTTTTTTATTTTCATTTTCTTAATTTTATGTCATAATTTTTCGTTTATTCAGTTTTTCAAATTTTCAACTCCTTGATTTTCAATTTTTAAATTTTGCGGTTTATGGATTTTTCAATTATTACCCAATTTTACGACTTCTTTAATTTTCAATATTTCGGTTTTTTTTTCGATTTTGACTTTTTCGATTTTGAACTTTCTCAAATATCTGTCTATTATTCAAATTTTGGTTTGTTAATTTTTTCGAGTTCTTGATTTCAAACTTCTAGATTTTTCTAAGATTTCATTTTATAGTTTTTCGTAATTTCATTTCTGATTTTTCAATTTTACAATTTTGCAATTTTTTCTTTTTATTTTTTTTTATTCGAAGAGTTGAAAAATAAGAAAATTAAAATTCGAAAAAATTGAAAAATCGGCAAACAGAAAAAACGAAAAATTGCAAAATCGAAAAAGAAGAAAATTAAAAAAAATGCAAATCGATGAACTGAAGACGCGAATAATTGACACATTGAAAAATTAAAAATAGAAAAAATCAATGAATCGAAAAATTGGAAAAAACGAATTTTTCGTTTCTTCGACTTTTCGATCTTTCGACTTCTGGATTTTTCGATTTTTTTTATTTCATCTCAAAACAAGTAACCTAAGCCCCTGTCAGAATTTTGACAAAAGCCCTTAATATTTTCAAAATATATTCTTCATTTAAATAGGAGTAATTATTAATTAAATTCAGAGATTGACATCTCCAAAAACAATTAGTTATTATTGCTCACTAGAAGTTAGCAATAGTTTTGTATCTTGAGAAATAAATAAATAAATAAATAAATAAATAAATATAAAAAAATATATCCACACTCCCTGTGAAAATGTATTTTCAGTTGCGTTTCGAATCCAGCAGGCTCATCATTATTTGTGATGAATGTTTTTATAAATGATTCTGGTATCAAGGACAGCTTGGCAATGTCAAAAAATATGCCATACTTTGATGACAACATAATTTAATAAAAGAAATTCCAGAGCTAACCTTGACACTACAATCATTTGCGGACGCGTTCTAAAAAAATGTAAAAGACGTAGGGCGTAGTTTAATTAGTTTAAGTTCAATTTGTGTCACTAACAGTGACATTCATATAAAAAATAATTAAACTACGTCATACGTCTTTCACATCTTTTGTTTGCAGAACCTCCCCTTATGTCAAACCAAAAAAATCATTTCTAGATTTCTACGCATACAGCTGTTAGCCGCGTATCTGTATAATTGGTTGCCTACCACATCAAACAGCTTTTACATTAATAATCTTAATTGACTTACTTATCTATAATCGTAAAAGCTTGTGTAACGATTTCACTTTCTGAGTTTGTTTATGGCTAAATGTTTTTATTAATTTTTGGTGTTCCGGATCACCGAACATTTTAATTTTATCTCATCCATTTTTACTGTAGGTACATGATATACAAATCTTTAAAGATTTTTTCCACATGTTTCTAATAAAATAAACTCTAGTCAAGATAATTCGTACAAAAGAAGGCAATAGAAATGTTTAATGTGTCACCTATTTCCCACGTTTACAAGTAAAATCTAAAAATAAAACAAACAACGCAATAAACCCTTTAGCATGTACTTAATCTGTATTTAAAAACGGACCTCCCTGACGCCGCTGCATGTGGAGAATGCGCCGTTGTAGGTCAGCTTTAGTAGGTTAGGACATCAAATTGATCCAAGTGCACTTTCATCAATTTTGTGGTTGTGATAAGTTAAACAAAACAATTTTATCGAAAGATTTGTCAGTGTTAGTAAGGTCCTCGCTGTCGGAAAATGCTGTGCATCCACAAAACATTCACAACTAATTAGGTAGGTGTGTGTTTGTGTTATCTTTTTTTTTCCACTGTACATTTATTTCGTCCACAATTTTTGTATTTTTGCGCTGTGTGTCTAAGATTGCTTCATTTGCTGTTTTTAAAGCAATCAATAATGAGTCGTCTTATCAACATGTGGCCTTAAACAGCATAACATAATTAGATACTTTATTTTTAAGGAAATTAAAATATGGTAAATATCGATATCTTCATCTTCACTTGATTTTTATTAATTAGGTGTATTAATAAGCAATTTCTATTTTTGCTGTATGACGTTATTATCATTTGTTTTTTGTTTAAAATTAATTACGAATTAGCGATAAATGCAGAGATTATGATTAAAATGTAATAAATGAGGACAAAAAATTTGTTATCGTTAAAATAAAGGGGTTGGGTTGTCGAATAATATTCAAAGTGCAGCTACAACTTGACAAGTGCGTATTACGTGTTGCCTATACACAAACAAAAATCTACAAAGTAGTTTTTTTATTTTATTGTAAGTAGTTATTGATTCATATTATATTATAGCATCTTTTTTCTTATTTTTTATCACATTGAAAGCCGCGTTATGTTTCATTATGATTAAATTGTAACTGTACTTTTTTAATACACCAAACAATAACTATCTTGTTTTTCTTCTCTTTTTATTTACTTTTATTAAACGATGAAGACAAAATGTACCACATTAACCTGTTGTCAAAGTGATACTACACAAATTGAAATCTTTCCATTTATCTTTTCACCAAAAATTATGTGTCATCAAAATTTTGGTAACTAAACCGTATTGTGCTATATATGATATTTTAAATTTTATCTTGAAAACTACATAATGGGCATCCTTTATAATTTAAGGATTATAAATAATACAATAACGCTAGGTACGTTATCAAAGTTTATGAACTATACAGTAAAGTTGGTTGCATATGATACAATAATAATCAGTTTCAAATTCGTTCACCGAAATTGTAGAATTTTATAAAAGATTTTTCTTAGATCATAGACTGGACATTAATTTATTTTATTTGGTTTGTAATAGTTGGTATTGACTATTTGTACAAGGTAATTGTAACAATTTGTACTGAATTTGAATTTTCTGAATCCTGTATGTATGCAACCAATAATTCATCTGCAATGATGTGGATAGATATTTTAGAAAAGCGAAGTAACGATAAAGTTCACCGAAAAATTAAGTTGGTATTAGACCAAAAATTAGTACATTTTATCTGAGAGATTTGGAGGTGGTGCTAATTGGTAAAAACCCATCGATTTTCTGAATAATTCCAGACACAATCTTGCACGATATCTCTACTATAAACCGCCTTGCTAATGACTAATGACTTACTTTTTGTACTTTCGATGGGCAACTTTTTATCTTTAATTTTATCATGAAACCATTGACGCTAGGGTTTTTTTAAATTTTGCCCAAAGATATAAATAAATTGGTAGGAAACCACAAAATTTCGTAAAAGGGAAAACACATGACAGGGCTATCACTTATCACCTAACTTATTAGATTATCAAAATCAGACAAATCGTAAAAAATGTTTTTTTTTTAAAGGACCTTATCGACCTTCCCATGGTTTTAATGAATCTTTCCAGTATTAAAAATTTCAAGAAAATTGTGAGAACTTGACAACATCGCACATCTTTATTTTAACTCATAAGGATTATCATAAAAGAAATAAAGTTCGCAAAATCTAATTTTCTAATATTTCGAAAAGTCGAAATTTATTTACCTTCGACTAATTTTTTGATATGATAATTTTTCGTTCTTCTTTTTTCTTCGATTTTACAATTTTTTGATAATTTTTCGTTTTATCAATTTTATTTTTTTCTGGTTCTCAATTTTTGATTTTTCGATTTTTTCATTTTTCGGTTCCCTCATTTTTCAAGTTCTTCATTTTTATTTTTCGTTTTCCCGATTTTTTTGTTTTTCATTTTCTGGATTTAATGTCACAATTTTTTGTTTTTTCATTTCCTTTATTTTTCAGTGTTTCTGTCGATTTTATAATTTTTCGTTTTCTCAACTTCAATTTTTTCAATTTTTTGTTTCTTCCATTTTTCAATTTTGCACTTTTACGATATTACAATTTTTCAAATTTTCGTTTCCCCAATTTTTCCAGTTCTTCATTTTTGTTTTTGATTTTCTCAATTTTATATTACAATTTTTTGTTTTTTCATTTCCTTAACTTTTTCAATGTTTCTTTCGATTTTATAATTTTTCGTTTGTTCAATTTTTCAAAATTTCAATTCCTGGATTTTTCAATTTTTAAATTTTACAGTTTTTGGATTTCTCATTTATCTAATTTTACGATTCCTTTAATTTTCAATATTTCGATTTTATTTTCGATTATGATTTTTTTGATTTTGAAGTTTCTCAAAATCCTTTGGATTTTTCAAATTTTGGTTTGTTCAATAAATAAATTTTTTAAAGTTTTCATTTTATAGTTTTTCGTAATTTCATTCTTGATTTTTCAGTTTTACAATTTTGCATTTTTTCCATTTTTTTATTCGAAAAGCTGAAAAATGAAAAAAATTTAAATTCGGAAAAAATTGAAAAGTCGAAAAACAGAAAAAACGAAAAATTTCAAAATCGAAAAAGAAGAAAATTGATAAATGTGCAAATCCAACTGAAAACGCGAATAATCGAAACATTGTAAAACTAAAAATTGAACAAATTTATTAATCGAAAAATTGAAAAAAAAAAATCGAATCGAAACATTGAAAATTTTCTCAATTTGTCATTTTTCGATTTTTCAACTTTTCATTTCCTCCATTTTTCAAGTTCTTCATTTTTATTTTTCATTTTCCTGATTTTTTAATTGTGTTTTTCTCGATTTTATATCACAATTTTTGTTTTTTCATTTCCTTCATTTTTGTTCTTTTTCGATTTTATAATTTTTTGTTTATTCAATTTTTCAAATTTTGAGATTTTCGGATTTCTCAGTTATTAAATTTTACAATTTCTTCAATTTTCAATATTTCGACTTTATTTTAGATTTTAACTTTTTCGATTTTCAAGTTTCTCAAAAATCTTTCGATTTTTCAAATTTTGGTTTGTTCAATTTTTCAAGTTCTTGACTTCAAATTGTTAGATTTTACAAAGTTTTCATCTTATAGTTTTTCGTAATTTCATTTTTGATTTTTACTTTTACAATTTTGAAATTGTTTACATTTTTTGTATCGAAAAGCTGAAAAATAAAAAAATCGTAAAAAAAGAAAATTGAAAAATTGCAAATCTAAGAACTGAAGACACGGATAATTGAAACACTGAAAAACTAAAAATCCAAAAAATTAATTAATTGAAAAACTGGAAAGAAAAACCGAATCGAGTCCAAACATTGGAAATTTTTTCAATTTTTCTTTTCTTCCACTTTTCGATTTGCACTTTTTCGATTTTGTAATTTTACGATATTACAATTTTTCATTTTTCGATTTTTCAGTTTCCCAATTTTTAATTTTTCGATTTTTTAAATTTTCGTTTACTCAATTTTTCAAGTTCTTCATTTTTATTTTTTATTTTCCCGATTTTTTAATTTTCGTTTTCTCGATTTTATATCACATTTTTTTGTTTTTTCACTTCTTTAATTTTTTCAGTTTTTTTTATAAACTTTCGTTTATTCAATTTTTCAAATTTTCAATTCCTCGACTTTCCAATATTCAAATTATGCGATTTTCGGATTTCTCAATTACTCAATTTTACGATTTCTTTAATTTTCAATATTTCGATTTTATTTTCGGTTTTGACTTTTTCGATTTTGAAGTTTCTCAAAAATCTTTAGATTTTTCAAAGTTTTTGTTTCGTAATTTCATTTTTGATTTTTCAATTTTACAATTTTGCAGATTTTTCCATTTTTTTTATTTCGAAGAGTTGAAAAATAAAAAAATTAAAAATTCGGAAAAAATTGAAAAACTAAGACTTGAAAAAATTAATTAATCGAAAAATTGGAAAAAAACGAATCGAATCGAAACATTGGAATTTTTTTCAATTTTTCAGTTTTTGTTTCTTCCATTTTTCGATTTGCACTTTTGTAATTTTACGATAAGTATTATCATTTTTCGATTTTTCAAATTTTCGTTTTCCCAGTTTTTCAACTTCTTCATTTTTATTTTTCATTTTCCCGATTTTTTAATTTTCATTTTCTCGATTTCATATCACAATTTTTTGTTTTTTCATTTCGTTAATTTTTTCAATGTTTCTTTTGATTTTATAATTTTTCGTTTATTTAATTTTTCACATTTTCAATTAATTATTTTTAAATTTTGCGATTTTTGGATTTCTCAGTTATCTAATTCTAGGATTTCTTTGATTTTCAATATTTCGATTTCACAATATTTCGTTTTTTCGATTTTGAATTTTCTCAAAAATTTTTCGATTTTTCAATTTTTGATTTCTTCATTTTTTCAAGTTCTTGATTTCCAGTTTTTAGATTATTCAGAGTTTTCATTTTATAGTTCTTCGTAATTTCATTTTTGAATTTCAATTTTACAATTTTGCAATTTTTTTTCATTCGAGAAGTTGAAAAACAAAAAAAAATAAACAATTTGGAAAAAATTGAAAAACAAAAAAAAAAAACAAAAAATTGCATAATCGAAAAAGAAGAAAATTGAAAAATTGCAAATCTAAGAACTGAAGACGGGAACAATTGAAACATTGAAAAATTAAAAATTGAAAAAAACTAATGAATCGAAAAATTGAAAAACAAAAACGAATCGAATCGAAAGAATGGAACTTTTTTCGATTTTTCAGTTTTTCATTGCTTCCATTTTTCGATTTCCACTTTTTCAATTTTGTAATTTAACGATATTACAATTTTTTATTTCTCGATTTTCCAGTTTCACAATTTTTAATTTTTCGATTTTTCAAATTCTCGGTTCCTCAATGTTTCAATTCTTCATTTTTATTTTTCATTTTCACGATTTTTTTAATTTTCCATTTCTCCATTTTATATCACAGTTTTTTGTTTTTTCACTTCCTGTTTTTTTCAATGTTTC